ATAATATTGTACGAACAGGAAAATAATGTTAACTTATCTGACAAACAATGTTTTATATTAATACACACTGATAATAATTATCATGCAAAAATAAAATTATACGGACCAATAACCTAGATCCCGATGTTTATTGTGAAAACTTTAATATTTATTGCTATTTAAGAAAGAAAGAAAGAAAGAAAGAAAGAAAGAAAGAAAGGAAAACATTCACAATCATGATTGATATAAATATACATATACTCATTTAGCATACATATTACATATATATTGTATAAATTGTTATATTGTAAAAGTCTGCGTTGTAAGTTTTTTTTTCGAACTAGTCTAATGCTGTTGGCTGCAGCTGGCCTTCACAGCTTCACGGGACGATAGGGGGAGACTGCAGATGGCACTCCACGAAATGGCACCCGCGAAAGGACTTATGGAGCGGCTGAAGGCCAACTCCCGCCTGACGGGTACGACTTTAGTCTGAGGGCACAGCTAGGGGTTCGAACCTCGGCTCAAGCTGCCGTAATATCGACCCTCGTTAGAATTGTACGGGGAATCGATCGGATTGACTATGGTTCTAAATTTAAAATGTAAGTAAAAAATTAGTCAACTGAGTGTTCTTTATGTATGCTCATGTTCAATAATATTAAAAACAATTTTCCACTAAATGTTAATTAGATTTTATATTTAGAATACCAATAAAGAGGTGTTATTCTGTAATAACACCTTATTGTCTATATACCTATGTACCTATTGTCTGGTACATATTATGTAATAGTCATATTGTTTTTTTTTAGGTTATTACGTAAAATAGTATATCTTTCGATATTTTAAAACAACTATATATAACTAGTACATACTCGCCTAGTTGAAATTCGACCATAATTAATTTAAATTATAATATAGTAGTTTCAACATTATAAAGATTCTGTCGCATACTTTTATAATCATAGGCACTGGCAGTCGCAAAGGCAATAAACAAAAGATTATATGCTTTCCAGATCTAGACATATTTACTTGTAATTTGCTGGAGTTTCGTAAGATGGCAGTAGATTATTTAGGTAGTATGTTAAATTAAGATTAGGAATAATTAAGATTATTTTTTTTTTTCATTTGTTTCCTTGTGTAATTAGTGTATATGTATGTAATTAGTGTTTATAATTGTGTGTATTTGTATATTATCTTCCTAAGTGGGCATATTGGGAGACTGTAACCTCACTTAGTATGACATAAATATATAAATGTATATGCCTATGTGTCTAAAATACATGGCAGTGCATACAATGTTTTTTATATTGATTTAATATATTTTTTATACATAAACTAAAAAAATAGACGTTTCTGAGATAAGCACGCACATTCAGATGAAATGCGTATAATGAAAAAATATATGACTTTGTACAAAGTCAGATGACTTTGTACAAAGTCATATATTTTTTTTAAGTCAACCTCTGGCGTTATCTTTATGATTCTAATAGGATAACAAACAAAAACGTAAACCGAAATTTTATTATACTTATTCCGAATACCGTAATTCGAGTTCTTATGGATAATAGTGGAATAGTGCACCCTCCTGCTCTTGCGGTTTAAACTGCGAGGCACCAGTAGAGGATGATAAGATGAACATGAGGTCAGGTCAGGTAGCCCATCGTGGTAAATTTACCATGAATTTATCACGATGGTTTCCAAGGTGCACCACATGGAGGTCAACCTGATATGGTATATTACTAGCAATGGGGTTATTAGTCCACATTACTAGGGGAAACGGGATTGTTAGGAATTGAAATTAACTCCCATTGCTAACAATGTACCATGTTAGGTCGACCTCCACGCGGTTCTCCCTGGAAACCATCATGATGAATTCTTGGTGAATTTGTCACGATGGACTAACTGACCTGACCTCATGCTCATCTTCTCATCCTCCACTGGTGCCCCGCCAGCATAGACCGTTATCACAGGCGGGTGCACCATTCCATTATTATACACCAAAAAGAGGTCCACATTACTAACCATCCCCTTACCCCTCCGCAATTCGAATTGACTTTGAGTCAAATCTGTAATATTTTTTTGTACCTCTGGCAAGTAGGTAATATTTTTACCGTGTTCGACCTCCACGCGGTTCAACCATCGTGTTAAATTCTGTCGTTATCGTTCATCGTCTTAATCACTGGTGCCCCGCCAGCGTAAACCGTTAGCGCAGGCGGGTGCTCTATTCCATTATCATCCACAAAAAAAAAACCTCTGGCGTTATCGTTATAATCAGTAGCAGGGATAAGGAAGCGAGAAGGTATTGGTTGTTTATCACATTATATGAGCAATTAACCACTGTTCACGTTATCGACAACAAATAACAAAGGATGAATTACACGAGTCTTATATCAATTATCCCTTTATTCAGAGAGTATTCATTATAATAATAATACCGCCATCTATAGTCTCGTCTCATCCTCCATCTTTGGCTTTGCCTTCGCATTTAGCCAATATCAAAGTTAGGGAAATATACACAGAAATATAAGGAACTAGCTGCCCCGCGCGACTTCGTCTGCATAATAAGTGTTATTATTATATATCGCCCAATTTATATAATATATGTTTAAATTATAGCATATATGATATTTTACCCCCTTATGGGTAAAATTTTTACAAACTTTTTATGTCATATTTATTCATATTTAATCAACAGCCGCAAAAATAAGTTTCAAGCTTTTAGCTTCAAAAATGACGATTCTTCCATACAATCTTTCATCCCCATTTTCAACCCCTTACAACCCTATTTTCGCATTCAAAAGTAGCCTATGTCCTTTCTCAGGGTCCGTTCTCAGGGTCCAGACTATCTGTGTACCAAATTTCATCGGTTCAGTAGTTTTGACGTGAAAGCGAGACAGACAGACAGAGTTACTTTCGCATTTATAATATTAGTAAAGATGGAATGAAATTTTGTAGGAAAAAGGACTGGTTAGGTCTATGATGTTTACAACGGATATATATGGATATATTTACAATTTTATATTATTACATGAAATATATGTGGCTAATATCTTATATATATCAGTATCGCAATTATGTAACAAACAATTAATAGATGTAGGAAATGGGACACGGATCAGAGTTTCTTAATCCCGGAGACTAAATTGACAGGTGTAAATGTCAAATAATATAGTAAAGGTACACCACTACCCCGCTGTAGGTGGTATGGTAACCCACCTACAGCGGGGTAGTGGTGTACCTGCGATACCGATTTGTTTAATCGGAAACTTTTATTATAACATATAAGTTTTAAAGCTTAAAAAGACGTTTCCTCATTAGAATTTTAATATTTACGTGCATATACTAGTGTTTCCATAACTGTCGCATTATACAGTATAAAAATACATTTCTGTCGTTTCCGTATAAATAGTCATTTTTACATGTATTAAGCTACCAAATTTTTTTTTCATTCAAACAGATAAACATTTTAAATTGGTGTTTGTTTTGTGATATATGCCACTATAAAAAAATCATTTGTTTTAAAAAATGGCAGAAAAAGGGCAGTTAATCTCTATTTGAGTGAAAAATATAAAATCTATTTTGATGCAACAACTATATATTTATTAATACCTATAGTTTATCAATGTTGTGTTAATTCGTTTTAAATAAACACTTGAATAACCTATAAAAATGGGTAATTAATATCAATTTCCGATAATGCCACAACCCTATTTAAACAATGCTAAAACCTGGAAACATCGGGAACGTCAAATTTGTCTCCGGGATTAAAAAACAGACTATAATAAAGCTTGTACTAAGTAGAGCTTGTATTATAAGTACCTACTAAACAACTATAGATATACTTTTTGAATACATAGATATTATACATAAAAAACAATAATTACGACAAATACAAATTTTTGTACTGTGCGAGGAATCGAACCTTCGACCATCAGGAGTAAAACGGTGAACCAAACCACTAAATCTTCTAGGCTCTAAAATTTATTGATTTTATTGCATCAAAACTACGTATATACATATATTAATTTGTGAGCTTGTATCTCTGGATCCACTGAACCAATTTTGAAAATACTTTTACCAATAGAAAGCCACGTTATTTGATATCTTATACGACTACATAACATCACACTACGACCAATAGGAGCGGAACTGCAATGACAAATGTAACGTGTAGTAAAGACTAAGGTGCGCGGGTCAGCTATTACATACATATATTAATATTATATATACATTATATAAATAAATCTAAATATTTATTATATATATATACTAAATACATAAAAATCAAACCCTATTTTTCTTGGTAACGTCATAACTGAAAAACGACTTGAAGATTTCATTCATTTTTCTTGTATTGCTTTTTATTGCTTCCTAATACTTTGTAGAAAGTTAATACGAAAATAAAAATTTAAAAAATTGCTCACAAAAGTTGTAAAATTTAAAAACATGACTCTTAACTTCCCGTTTGACAGTTCGCATTTAAATGACAGTACCGGACCTGACTTCATCGTCTTCCTATCACCCTGTGGTCTGGTCACCAGAGTATATTGTTAGTGAAGACGAGTTCATCGTTGCTTTACTATCCATTAAAAATGGTCAACCATGATGATAATAGGTTTAGACAATAGTGTATCAAAACTGGCAAACTTTAAGGCACAAATTTGTGCGTCAATTACTATATTTGTTTTCTTTGAAAGTCGGTGCTTTCCTTCTATTGTACGTATTCTTCTATATTAACCTTATAGGTCTGACATTTATAATTCAACAGAGTATTATTATTGACGGCTGACGACCTCGGTGGTCTAGATGTTTAAAACATCGCTTTACGTCCGATGGTTAGTTCGATTCCTCGCATGGTAGAAACATTTGTATGATTGTTTGAATGAAAAATATATCTTTGTATTTATATCAGTTGTCTAGTAGGTACCCATAACACAAGCTCTGCTTATCTTGGGATTAGATGGCACTGTGTGAATTGTCCTAAGATATATTATATATTATTATTTGTATATAATATTACTCACGCATGCGCATTCCACTCATACGTATAACTGTCTGTAAACGATGCCAAAAGACGAGCCAAAACGTTCACGAAACACTATTTCCACACTCTTCTAATAGCACTAAAACACATTCCCTTCAATCAATCATGAATTAAATTAAACAAAAAAAAACACGACCACAATTTAAAATAGGAATATAAACTTTTTAAAAATACAAACACGCGCGTATACTATGGCTGTATGATGTACATGCTCTAATCGGCGATCACTCGTGTATATAATTTAAAAAATAAATCAATCGTGTATGCGTAATGTACGATAAGCGAGGTAACCGAGAAGCAACTGCGCGACAACGCGCGAACAACATTATACAAATGAACCAGTTTATGTATTTATTCGTTTCGAGTACAGATACCCCTTTGTTCTTTTATTTCTAGAACGTTGACATCTGACATGGGACTGGAGGAATAGGGATTGTGAAGGAGGGTTGTGTTAAAAGTGGTATCAAGTTCCAGGATAAAGATGATAATGATCCGTCAAGGTTTCCTCATTACTTGCGATTTTGGTTTATTTATACAAATAAATAAAATTGAAGTGTCTGATCATAATTTCAAACAGCCTTTCACAAAAAGCATATTTGGTACTTATATGCAAAAATTAATTTACAACTAACTTTCTGTCTGTCAGAGATTAGCAAGAACAAATTTCTTGTCAGAGATTGCATGAATTTCCATTACAGAACAAATTTCTTAGGCAGACCAACTGCCAGATGGTCGATGATATCAGGAAGACGGAGGACCGACCTGGACAAGACACGTCACAGACAGACTGATTTTGCATGAATTTGGACAAATATATGCTGAAAGAGATAGCTAATGAATAAGGAATAACTTAAGTGACTTTTATTTCAGAAATTTTAATAAAATAAAGTTCTCATATACTACTATATATTAACTATCTACCCGCCCCGGCTTCACACGGGTGTACATGTATTAAACAACAAAACTTCCTCTTGAATCACTCTATATATTGCTAAAAACTGCATTAAAATCCGTTGCGTAATTTAAAAGTTATAAGCACAGACAACGGAATCTGCTTCATTTTGTACTATGTAACGATACTATCGTAGTATTCACCGACTTTGTCTACTTTTTCCAGATAAAAAAATAGTCTAATATCTGCCCCTGTGTTATTTCCATTCATTAAATTCCATTGAACCGAACCGTACCGAATTGAATTGAATTGAAACTGAATTGAACCGTATTCTTGAGAATGTAACAAATAGATATACACAGTTTCGCACTTATAAATCTATACAAATATTATAAAGCTGAAGAGTTTTGTTTGAACGCGCAAATCTTTTTTGTCTCATCGAGAGAGGCATTGAGCTACGTGTATAACATTACGTTCAATCTGCAATGAAAAATATTCAAAATGAAGTTTCCATCCAACATTTTGACCAGACTCCATACTCCAGATACGGCATGCATTTCAAAAAGACAAAAGCTCAAACTCCTAAGTCCTGCGTGCTCAAAACACCTACATTAGACGTTGTTCTTTCGCCTTATCAATACAAAACAAAATCAAACAAATACCGAATAAACACAAACAGAGTCAATACAAGGAAACTCTAGATAAAAACAAGGGCATCTTGATATAAGGGAATCACTGTAGGTATAGACTTATACCTTCACGATTACTTCAATAATGAATAAGCAGAGATTTTTTTTATAACATAGGAACAAACGAGCATACGGCTCACCTGATGGTAAGTGATTACCGCCGCCCATGAGCACCCGCAACGCCAGGGGAATTGCAAGTGCGTTGTCGGCCTTTTAAAAAGGAATAAGCTTTTTTCTTGAAGGTTTAAATATCGTATCGGTTCGGAAATACCATTGCGGGAAGGTGATTCCACAATGTGGTTGTGGGTGGCAAAAAGTTACTAGAAAACCGCACTGTGGAGGACCGCCATCCAAATGATCAGGATGGTATTTTAGTTTCTGGCGAGTGGTACGGTGGTGAAACTCAGCAGACTGTGGAATAATTGTGGAGTTCCAGCAATGCTATTTCCGAACGAATACGATATTGAAACCTTAAAGACAACAGCTTAATCCTTCTTAAAACGCCGACAACGCATTTAAAGGTCGGCAACGTACCATCGACGCAAGCTCGTTTGTCCCCTATGATATATAAAAATAAAGATTTCTTAAAGGTCGGCAACGCGCACATGACTCTCCCGGTGTTTCAGGCGTCAATACGCTGCGGTAATCATTTACCATCAGGTGGGCCGTATGTTTGTTTGCCGACGTCGTAGCATAAAAAAAAGAGAAAATTATAGGCACCAGGAGATATTGCAGCAAAAACTCCTGTACATTTACAGCCGCAACAAAGCTAGCCAGATAAATTATAAAAAAGAGACAAACGTAAAAAAAAAACAACATGTCGGACTAGATGGCGGTGTGTAAAGGATATTATAGCATAGAGCATACCCATAGTGGCAACCATGTAGTTCATAATAATAGTATTAGGTTGTTCGGAAAGTCGAAAAAAAATAAAAAGAAGAAAATGAAACCGGCAAATAACACAATACGTGAGATCCGATTGAAGTTAAATTTATCAAATTTAACAATTTATGACCACTTGAAAGGCTTGGGATGTTATAAGTGTCTTTATTCTCCGGTTCGCATCAACCAATGCCTTTATCAGCTTCAACCGGCCTTCCCGAGGGTGGTGCATCTTCGACATCAAAATTGCCGGATCGAAATTTAGCGAACCAGTTCTGGCACTGGCGTACTGTTAACACACCTTCTCCACACACATCGGTCAATTTCTTTCTGGCTTGAACAGCATTTTTGCCCTTTCTGTAGTAAAACAGTATGATAAGATATAGTCGAAAATGCTGTTTATTCCTCTGCATATTTAAAAGGGTACCAACCAAAAACTACTGCGTAGAATTATTTGTAATTTTTCACTCTCAAGCCTTGCTAGTGTGAAGTTGAGTGCAAAAAATACAATTAAATCCTAAGTTAGTAAAAAACGAAATTACTTTCCGAACAACCTAATAATATAATATTAGTAGTAATACACTTATATACTTTATTTCTAACATAAAGCAAATAAAAGAGATCTTAATCATTACATAGTATAAAACAAAGACAGCGACTTTGTTGTCAGAGACAAAGACAGTGCTGTCTGTCCGTCCCTATATTTGCTTAAATCTTTAAAAGTACGCAACGGATTTTGAAGCGGTTTTTTATAATACATAGATTGATTCAAGAGGAAGGTTTATATATATAATACATGTACACCCGGGCGAAGCCGGGGCGAGTAGCTAGTGATATTATAAACGCGAAAGTTTGTGAGTATGGATATTTATTACTCTTTCACGTATAAACTTCTGAACGGATTTTGATGAAACTTTACAATAATATAGCTTATGCATCAGATCAACATAGAGGCTATATTTTTTATTGAAATTCAACGCGGGTGAAACCGTGGGTACAGCTAGTAAACAATATATTTACAGTAAGACGGCCTTATTGCTGGAAACAATCTTTTGAAGGCAACTTAGGGAAACGACTATAAATATCGAACAGGTAGGTAATATTAATATTAAGGGAATATAACATGATTACAACGTAACTGACTAATTTGTGTACACAAACCGGTTGAACAAAAAAGTTCAAGGTAACAAACAATATTTGGAAGGTACCATGAAATAATGAGTTCCTATGTTGTTTGTGGTCAGTCCTATGTTATAAAAAGCCGTTTGTTATATAATAGAGTCGATATATTGCAGTAATATTAAAATATAATTTCCTGTATTATAACTAAGATCTATTGAATAGGTGGCTAACGTATTGTTATATTGTATACTAGGTACACCCGCGACTAGGTCCGCGTGGAATTTAACTTTAGTTTTCTAAAATAAAAGTAGCCTAAGTTACTCCTTATTACATTAGCTATCTGCCAATAAAAGTCCCGTCAAAATCGGTACAGCCATTTCAGAGATTAGCGGAAACAAACAGACAGACAGACAAAATGTTATTTAAATTAGCTGTTACCTTAGTTGTTAATTAGCTGTTTTATATAATATCATATTTTTAATCGACAATAAATTTCTTAATTTCTTTCATTTTCTTTCTTTTCTTTACTTATTAAGTTTTGTGCTAATGTAATTCAATAACCTATATCTGTATATGAGATATATATTTTATCTCACAAACGCAAACCAAGTAGCAGATAAAAGTTACTAGCAAATAAAATGCAATAACTAATCTTCTAGAATCTGACACAACGAATGATGACTCATGAGATGCAATATATACACCTACAATAATAATACGATAAAAATGCATATTTGTTATTAAAAAAACAACTAATTAAGATTGCTTAATTACCCCAAAGTCTATGAACTGAGTCTTTACTTGTATTTAAATGCAAATAAATCTTAATTAGTTGAACATATCAGTGAAAGAGTAATAGGTTATCATCGTATTACAGAAGAAATTAACACAAAGCACACTTGAAAGTGCTAGTTCAGGCATTGATAATGTTAATAAATATATTACGAATATTTAATACTTAGTGCTCACCAGGGGCGAATCTACCTAAGAGCTTTTTGGGTTGCAGCCCAGAGCCCCGAGGACACAGAGAACCCCCGGTCCACACCACTCTAGAATGTTAAAAAACCTATCATAAGGGCCAACTCTGAGATCAATCAACCCACGCACGTGCGGATCTATCGAAAGAAACGGAGAATTTCTGATCGCTTGTTTTTGGTCGGTGTATTTTTTAGTTGAGTAATATAATTAGGTAGGCCCTTTAGCCCAAGGCCCCACAAATTCACAATACGCCCCTGGTGGTCACCAAAAAAAATTTATGAATGTGGATGGTTATAACGGTAGAGGAAGGCCGAAAAAGAGATGAAAGGGCTATGAGAAAGATTATATGATAAGAAAGGGAGTAAATAACGAGATGACTGCGAATAGGGTAAAACATCTACAATTTTGGATGACATAGGGGGTAGAGAAGTCTAGATGATAATTACATCATCGGTAGATATTTACTTTTTTACGCAAATAGCATCCCTCACATTGTCTTTGCTAAAAAAACAATACGTTAATCGAAAAATGTTTCCGTAAGCATGGGGGGAGGGGGTAAGATCTTTGCTTACTTTTGCTGACAAGGGGGATGGCAGGGTAGATAATTGTAATAAATCTGGTTACGTAATACTTGAATGCCCAAATGAATTGAGATGGAATAGTATACACGCTTGCACTAATTGTATACGCTAACGGATAATGTACTCTTAAGGCGACAGGATGAGCATGACCACAGGTC